ATTTAAATACATTCATAGATTAAATGATTAAATTAGTAAAGTACCTATATTTTAATGAAGTTTGTATATATACATCTTAATTTTTTTTCTTTTTTGTTTATTATTGTTATTATTATACTAATATTATTTTTTCTCATTTATTTATGTTATTGTGAAATTAAGTTAAATAGAAAATATTCGTGCTTTTGCACGAGGTATCGAACTAGTATATATATAGTGCTTTGTTAGAACTAAGCCTATACTATTGACTTATTTACTCGGTATAACTTTTACTTTACTTTTTTTTTTGTTCAACATATTTGGGGAGTTTACATTGCAATTTTGATTTCCCCTATTAAACAATTTTCAACACTCGTCAAATTCAACATTGAAACAAATTTTCCCCACCCTTTATTCACATATTTGCCAAGTTCATCCATGATTTTCCTTGAGATCGAAGGTTCCAACATTTCACCCGTTATGTTGAACTACAAAAACAACACGTTTTAATGGAATATTCAGTCCAATATTTGTCCATGAACTTTCTCTGCCATCCATTTCCTGAGAGTTGCGAAGTATACACTTTCTGATTTCAGCACCCTGTGTGAGTATATATACAGATGTGGGCATACGAGAAGAGGTGAAGACAAGCTTTTCCTCGTGGCCTCACTTACCGAACTCCACGAAACTAGAAGAATATGTCATCAACCTAATATGTATTGCTTTTTGCAATTTTCTACTATCAACAAYGTTGTTCTCTTGAAAATGTATTAGATATCAAATATATGAATTATGTTCACTCAATACATTAACTTAAATATTTGGTTAAAGTAGTGGTTTATTCATCCTTGATATCAAAGCGGGAGATCCTGTGTTCGAGTCGTGCGTAGTCCTTTCATCCCGTTTGTTATTAAGATCATAGTGGAGAAGAACTTGTGCTATCCCTGTTTTTTATAGTTTCATAATGCACCATCCATCTCTCTACAATCTTCTCGCTCTTGGTATCACATCCAAACTCGTCCTTATCAGAATTGAAAGAGTGAATATTTCTCTTTCAGAGACAAGTTCCTAACAAGATCTTTTCTAGGAGAAGCATTCACTGAGTCTGAACCAAAATAACATCTACCACCATGGGTTCGTGATAGCTCTGACGCCAGAGATCAATGTTCTCTAACGCTGCAGAGCATTCACGAACAGGAGGAAGATGGAGACGACAAAACTTGTTCCCCACTGAAATTACGCGACGAGATACAAGGGGACCTCGATTCCAGTACAATTTGTAGCGTTTTAGCAGTTAGAATTTGGTCGGTTTTTGCAGTCTCGGAATGAGTATTGTGAGAAGAAGCCATAACAACAAAATTGAGTGAAATCGAAACAGACCCTTTACCGGGAAACGCGATTAGAGCCCCCCGACTCGATATATGTGACGACAAACAAACTAGAATTTAAAGTTGAAGCCTGAAGCAATACGAGAGCAGGCGTGGATCCACTGTTGAGCAGTAGATTATTAAGGGAAGGAAGGAACGTGCCAGGGGCTATCAGGTTTTGAATGTCACCCTTATATTGGATATCTAATAAAAAGAATCCGTGTTTTGTAGGTGGGGGCACCCAATTAACGCAAATTTCTGGATTTTGATTTCGCTCTACACAGTTCTTAGAGGACAAAAAACAACATATGCCCATTACTTGTTTTAATTAGAACCCGACGCAAGTACAGTGGAAGGCAAGGCGATGTCTTTTCTTGATTGGGTTCCAATTTGTCAAAAGGGTTGTGATTTAAACCTTTCCTTTTTCTTGGGTTTAATGCGTTTCGAAATGTTTGACTTCCGGTTTCGAGATGTGGGAATGTTTTTATCTGACACCCACTTATTTAACAGAAAGGAACTAATTATTTGATTTAATTTTGGCGACTGTGAGCTTTTGATTTTCGTGTTTATTGCGTGGAATGTGGATAGGGAGAAAGGTAAGAATATTTCTTATTTCTATTTTTTTGATGATTTTTTAATGATGTGAATTTTAAGGGCCTAGGGTTCGCTTTTCGTGCTCCAGTCTTCTATCGGTGCCCAAATTTTCATCCCCTTTCGTATGAATTTAGGGGCTACTGACTCCGACTTATCCTCGATTTTTTTTGATCTCATCGTGCTTGGTGTTTAAATTTCCTTGATTTTTCCCATTGGGTCGGTGCGGTCTCCGGTTTCTGTCGTCTGAGGCGGTGAATTTCCTTTCGCATCAACTGCTGGTGGCCGGTTCGTTTGATTTTGAGGTTCTCTCTCACGGGTTTTGCTTTGAAGCTTCGATTATGATGGTTTTTATGCATTTTCGAGGCGCTTTTGCTCAACCAGCAGCTGAATATATGCTATGCTCTTGCATAGGTTGATCATAGTTGGATATTCTTGGAGGATAGGGTTTGAGTTCTTAATTGGTCCTGCATTCAGTTTTGCAGAAATTTTGTGCTGAAGTAGGTGACTGGGTAATTAGGGTTTAATTGCTGGTCCGGTAAATAATTAAAGATTTTGGACGGCTGTGATTTTGATCTTAAGCCGTCTGTGAGGGGCTTTGGAATGATGACATTATTTCAACCTCAGAATGAAAATTCAGGTTCTTTACTTCTATGTCATGGCGTATGGGCACTGGTTTCTGGGATTTTAAACTGATGCCAGGGCATTGGGGCTCTGTTTTGTGTTCTAACGGTTCCACAAGCAAGTTGAAGGATCTCATTGCTTGAGGAAGGCCGCTTAATGCAATTTTCTGGTTCTTCTTGTAAATGATGCTTCATTCCGTAGGACCTGCGAGACAAACTTGTAGCCTACTTGCTGTCACCTGCGGAAGTGTACCTAAAGTAAAATGCGAGGAGGATGTTGCTGAGGATAGATTGAAATATCCCTTTCCAGAATTAGTTTCTTCCGGCCGATTGGAGGTGCAATTATGCATTAGTTGTAATTTTTCTGCAATTTTTCCTACTCAACTAAAGATTGTTCTTGTCTAAAATTCACCTGCTTGAATGTGCAGGTCCGAGTTCTGACAAATCCAAGCAAGGATGAATTCACTAGAATTGTAGAATCATGTCAACCGAGCTTCGTCTACTTGCAAGGGGAACAGCTCGAAAATGATGAAATTGGTTCTTTAGTTTGGAATGGTGTTGATTTGTCTCTTGAAGATTTATGTGGACTATTCCATACTGCACTACCAATCACCGTATGCTCTGTCTCCCTTTTATAATGGATGAATTAGTTCTTTACTTGACCATCTTGTTTTTTCTTCCGCTCATGCAATTCTTTGTTATGGGGTTGGAGGAACGGATTTGGTTGGAATAGATTTCTGGTTTTGATAATTTAATTCATCTATTTGCTCAGGTGTATTTAGAAATCCCCAATGGAGGCAGAACAGCAGAGGCTCTTCATTCTAAGGTGACTTCTATGAGGTTCTTAGACCTTACTTCCTTGTGTACACCAATTGGATTAAATTATGATGTTGATATGAACAAGGATGGTAGCCTGCCTGTCTAACATTCTTGTGTAATGTCTCCTTTGTTGAAGGATGTTTATTGAATCAAATTCATCATTGTGCAGGGAATTCCTTATGTCATGTATTGGAACAACACATTGTCATGTTATGCCGCAGCTCATTTTCGTAATGGATTGCTTTCAGTGGTGCAGAGGTACTTTACATACCTGAAGGATTTGCACTACTTGGTATTAGAGAGACTAGAATTGTGTGGTTTAAGTGTCTATTTACCCCTCTTCATGGATTCAAGTAAATAATTATCTTCACATTTAGAGTAGAATAAACAATAAACATTACTCGTGATTTTTCGTAGATATATTTTTCCTCATGTATGCATGCATCCACTTACTTGATGATCCATGATGATTTTGTGCTTCTTATATGAGCTCGCCATACTTTGGAAGTTGTTATGAGTAGTGTTTTTAGAAGTGTGAAGCACATTAAAGAGCAATAGCCCTGTTAGGGCTTAAGTGCGTGGAGCAAAAAAAGGGGTGAGGACTTTATTGAAGTGAAGTGCATGATATAGAATACATATAATTTTAGAAATCAACATGAAAAACAGAGTTCTCTTGTAAATTGAATTAAGTTTGTAAAGGAGAATTCCCGTGAAAAATAGAACACAGTGATTTTTTTTCCATGCATCTTATTTCTAGCTATCTACATGTCATTCTTGTACAAAACTTGAACCAATTAATTGTTAGTGAGTGACACTGGTAGGGCCTTCCTACTTGTTGAGGGCACTTATGGTTTGCACATGTTGCATTTCTTTTACTTTTATGTAATTACTTTTGTGCTTGTGGAGGGTGATAAATATTTGATTTTTATGTTTTACTTCACTTGTGGGTTGCAGTTCATCTACTCATACATGGGATGCTTTTCAGCTTGCACATGCTGCTTTTAGGCTTCATTGTGCGCGGAGCAATTATGCCCTTCCCGGGGATGATGACATTATTAGCTGTAATCTAGAGCCACAACTTATTGGGGAACCTTTAAAGATTAGCGTAGAGCCCCCCGAGATAGATGCAGGAGATGCAGGTGAAGATGAAGACGATTCTTTAGGAACCCTTCCTGCCATAAGTATACATGATAATAATGTGACCATGAGATTTCTTATCTGTGGAGTGCCTTGCACACCGGTAAGCAGTTCCAGCTGTTCGTCTTATATTTATGTGCCATTGGGTACGCCTGCATGTTGGTGTGCAGGAACAAGTACCTTTTCAATTATAAGTTATTTTACATGGTTTTCCTCATAGTTTTCATGCTTTCTAGGATGCGTGCTTATTGAGATCGTTGGAGGATGGACTGAATGCCCTTTTGAACATTGAAGTAAGTTTCATTCAGCATTTTGATTGTTTTTATGGGTTGTAGGAGTTGGTCAATGACACCATTTGAGATTATTAGTTAACATTTTCCAAATGAAAGAACTGAAAAGATCTCTAAACTGTTGTAACTTAAGTTGTTTTTTGGGCCGTTCCTTCCATAACCATCTGCGTTTTTGGTTTTTATGGGCAATACAGATACGTGGGAGCAAACTTCAGGGGAAGTTTAGGTATGCTTCTTCTTGGAAGAACTTATGTTGAAATATATTTGGAACATTTTTGGTTTTAATACTTGGACCATTTATCACATTTGATACTTATATCCCACAATGTCATCATATATCTAGGTTACGCCTTCTTGTTAGTAATTAAATCTTCGGTTCTGTGAACGTCAATTGTATATGTTATTAATGCCTTTTAATTATGGTTCAGTGCTTCTCCACCGCCTCTTCAAGCAGGATCCTTTTCTCGTGGTGTTGTGACAATGCGATGTGATATGGTGACCTGTAGTTCAGCCCACATCGCAATATTAGTGTCGGGTAGTGCTCATACTTGTTTTGATGATCAGGTTTGTTTCTAATTCGAGCTATTGGACCTGTTTTATTATTGTTAATTTTTTCGGTTGGGACGGTTCTAATACCTGGTTTCTACTAATTTTTTCAGCTGTTGGAAAAACATATCAAACATGAGATTATTGAAAATAGCCAATTAGTTCATGCCCTGCGTGATTGTGAGGGCAACCAACATTGCATGCACGAGCCCCGAAAATCTGCTTCAGTTGCTTGTGGAGCAACAGTATTTGAGGTTTCCATGAAGGTTCCCGCTTGGGCATCACAGGTCCGCCAACCTTCCTGCTTCCCCCCTTCACCACTTAAATTAAGCACTCTAGACTCCAGAGTAAACTGTTTATTGATTTATTCTCTATTAAAAGCAATGAACTTGGTTGATTCATGTTGTGAATGAAATGTTGATCTCTCTGCATGAGGGTGCAGTTATCAAAAAGATATGAACTTGGTTGAATAATCTGGAGTCGTATCATCTGCTATATATTAATATCAATTTGTTTGCCATGGGTGCTATTTCAGGTCTTGAGGCAACTAGCACCTGATATGTCGTATCGGAGTTTGGTTGCACTCGGCATTGGGGGAGTTCAGGGTTTGCCTGTGGCTTCTTTCGAGAAAGAGGATGCTGAGCGGTTTCTCTTCTTCTGTTCAAGGGATGGGAATGATAAACATTCAGATCAGTTATTTTTAAGTGTATTGCCTAGCTGGTTCAAACCACCTATTCCTAGTAGAAAGAGAGTGGAACCAAGCCAGGGAATAAGCACTGTTTCACATGACAGTCTTGCATATGCAAATATCCCTTCCATTAGAAGAGTAGGTGGAGAGGAGCGTGCACCAATGAATGGGTTTAAGGCAACCTTACTCCCAGCTAGAAAAAGATTAAAAGTAGCCACCATGAGGCCTATTCCACGTGTGCATCGGAATAAAATGACACCCTTCTCTGGATTAACTGAAGCAGATGGGAACAATGGATACTTACCCAAGGCTAGTCTGCCCGTCGTTACCCCGTCAAAGCATGTAACTGTAGGATCAACTTCTGCAACACAACGAAAATCTTTTTCAAGCTCGTCTCAGTCTAAGCAGATTATTTCCTTAAATCCACTACCTTTAAAGAAACATGGTTGTGGAAGAAACCCAATTCAATATTGCTCAGAGGTAAAGATACTATGATCATTTAGTTTTAAACTTGAAAGGCCGGGAATATCGGGTTATTGGCAGTATATTATGGAACTTGTAAAATTTCTCAATAAAACTTGGAAGTCCATCAAGTCAAAATGGGAATCCACTACTAAAAAGTGCTTTTGGCTTTTGGCTACTTGCATACGCTTCTAGAATGGAATAGAAATAGCTTTGCTTAGAGGGAATAGATTTCAATTTCATGCTATTTATGTCCATGTAAATTTATTTCAAAAGTTTTCTGTCTGATCTAATAATAATATCATTCTGCTGTTATTAATTTTTTTTACCCACTCTCGTTGCAGGAGGAGTTCTTGAAGGATGTTATGGAGTTTTTACTACTTCGAGGACATTCTCGACTTATTCCTCAAGGTGGACTTTCTGAGTTCCCAGATGCCATACTCAATGGGAAGCGTCTTGACCTCTATAACTTGTATAAGGAGGTATGGTCATTGAATATCTGGAATATAATATTGATTCATCTTGTTTGATATTTTAACTGCAAAGACCCATACTGAAAGTGCTGCTCGGCTTCGTAGGTGGTCACCCGAGGAGGCTTTCATGTCGGCAATGGTATCAACTGGAAGGGGCAGATCTTCTCTAAGATGCACAATTACACAATGACCAATAGAATGACTGTATGTTCTGCAAGCCTTTCTTCATTGATTTGTTACTCCTTCTTATGCCTATTTCCTAAGCCTAAACTACAGGAATCATTGGATAGATGAAAATTGTTTCAATTTTACTAATTTCATATGGTGGAAGATGTTGATGCTATATGCTCTCACAGGGTGTTGGAAATACACTGAAAAGACATTACGAGACTTACCTTCTAGAATATGAACTGGCTCATGATGATGTAGATGGAGAATGCTGCCTTTTGTGTCACAGGTTTGTCAATTCATTCTACTGATTCTGCTCACTTACATGGTGAAAGATGATTTTGATAATAGTAGAAAATAGATCACTTCCTTACCATTGGATTTGCAACTGTTAAAACAGTAGTGCAGCAGGGGATTGGGTGAACTGTGGTATTTGTGGTGAATGGGCCCATTTCGGGTGCGACCGAAGGCAGGGTCTCGGAGCATTCAAGGTATGATTTCCAACCACCACGAGATAAATTCTGAGAAAGTTTTCGAGTATGCAAAAACGAAACAGTGTGCAATCTGATTAATGTTTTCTCTGTCATATGGTCTAAAACTATTTGTTTCCTTGCTTGCACAGGATTATGCCAAAACGGATGGGCTAGAGTACGTTTGTCCACATTGTAGCATCACAACCTACAAGAAGAAACCATACAGAGTAGCGAACGGGTCTCCACAAGGAATAACGAATCCACGGATACCCTGATTCAGTTTTGGCCTCTGCGTCGAGGTTTCGCCTTCGTCGTTTTTTTTCCCTAATTCTTTGGCTGTTTTTATCCTACTCGAGAAATTATTCACTCCACCAGCTCGGCTCGTAGATGAGTTTTATTTGAGGTGTGCTGCTAAACAAACATTAGCTGAAGAGTAAATTTATGAGACTCAGGATGAAAACTCTAGATGAAGAGAACAACTAAAGACTACGGCGCACAAGAGAGCAGGCTTCTTCTTCATAGGTTATTTTTTGACTTCTCTCTCTCTCTCTCTCCTCTTTCTCTTTCTAGGTGTAGTAGTTGTAGTTTAGGAGAAAAGTCAGCAGCAGGGCAGTTAACTTTAGTGGGGTACTGTAAAATACTTCTATTCTTGTAGTGTAGCTAAGCTAAGCCATGACTAATGTATTTTAACCAAGATCTATCTAATTTACCATTTTTTAGTGTAATATGATGATCCAAGAATAAAGTAGTAGATTAATAATCACTACTTTATATCCACTTCCAAACTTATACAACTTATGAAATTACTTGCCTTCCTTTCCATTTGTAATTCTCATACATTTCTATTATAACTTTAAAAGATTGATAAAATGCACTATGAATATTATATCGTCACATTAATATAGTTCAGCAATAATTGAAATATTTTTATTGTCACATTAATATAGTTCAGCGATAATTGATTTTTTTTTTCTTTTGAGATGAGAAGTTCCATTTCTTGTATCTCTAAAACTGGTTGTACTCAAGAGGAAAAAAATAAAAAAGAGGACATTATATTACTCACCACAACTTTTTTTTTTTTTTTTTTTTTTTACTTTCCACGGGCGTTTGATTTTTTCCGTCGAGATTAATTGCCGTTGTTTAATTAAGGAAGTGTATTACTTGAATTAATAAAAATTTGAAATTTGAAATTTTAATAATTAATAAATATGTTTTAAGAATCAATTTATTAGGAAAGTATCAATTAAAATCCCACACTATGGTCACTTTTGGCAAGAAAAAAATTTCAATAGTTGGAAGCGAAGGGCGCAGATTAAAATGCGACCACAGTAAAGGAAATTTTCATTCCCAAATCAAATTAAATTTATACACAAGAACCCAACGGACGCATTTCTTAATTGCATGGGAAATCCAAATCATAAGCACATTTTTGTTTCAAGCCTCCCTTTAAATCACTCTTGTAGTTGTTGTTGTTTGAAAATGAATTACCAGATCAATCGGCAGTCTGAAATTGAATCTCCAATCTAATGGCGGCGGAGGCATCATTTGGCTTAGGCTTAGTCGACGATATATACTTCTCAGCCCTTCTCGATGAGGAAACCGTCTTCCCGATCTCCGATGAGAAGTTAGCAGAATCGTTACAACTCCAGGAAGCAATCGCATCCTCCGTATCGGCTTCAATTACAACACCGATTGTAAAATCGGAGAACGTGTCTTCGTCTTCGAGGAGAGTAATCCTAAAAGGCGAATCGTCGTCGTCGTCGTCTGGTTCCGAAACCTCCTTGTGCATAATCTGTACGGACACAAAATCCGCCGCGGAAATGTTCACAAGCAGCGCCTGTTCGCACTCGTTCTGCGCCGATTGCATCTCGAAACACATCGCCGCCAAGCTTGAGGACAACATAGCGGTGAAGTGCCCGGAGCCGAAGTGCGAATCGACGCTGGAGCCGTGGATGTGCGATTCGTTCGTTCCGAGAGAGGTACTGGAGCGGTGGGGGGATGCGCTGTGCGAGGCGATAATTCTAGGGATTCCGAGGATGTACTGTCCCTTCGTGGACTGCTCGGCGGCGATGATCGACGACGGAGGGGAGGCGGCGACGGTGACGGCGGCGGAATGTCCGAGCTGCAGGAGAATGTTCTGCGCGCAGTGCAAAGTTGGGTGGCATGGGGAAATGGAGTGCGACGAGTTTCAGAAATTGCGTAAGGAGGGAGGAGAATTGAGAGAGGATTTGATGGCGTTGCAGCTCGCCAACAGACAGAAATGGAAGAGATGTCCCCATTGCAAGATTTATGTGGAGAAGGTTGCTGGTTGCCTCCATATCACCTGCAGGTAATTTTATTGTTCCCCTCTTTTATTATCCTTTAAGAAAAATACTTGGCAGAGCAAATTCCTTATTACCGGTTTTAGTTATTCGATAACTCAATTGTTTTTTAGAAAAAAAATTTGTTTTTGTATTCCAATCTCTTAATTATTTTACTCATGGTAAAATTGAAGTTGTTCCTTGTAACGAGTCAGATATTTTCAATCTTTTGATCATCAACCATTACCTATACCAATTATAACTATAGCCGAATTGTTAGCATCTGAATCTTAAATTTATATTGTTTTCGAAGCCTATATGGTATAAAATTATAAATCTAGTGTATTAAATATATGTTTAGGAGTGATTTTTGCTCATTTAAATTGCTTTCAGTGGAGTTTAAAATCATTTAAATTGATTTTCAAAGTATTATTTAGATGGTAATTTTAGAAAATCAATTCTACTTAAATATCTTTTTTTTTTCTTTTTCAAAATTGTTCATTCTACCATCATTCTCAAGTACATCCTAAATTTCTTTTCGAAGTTTTTGTATAGGTGCGGAAATCAGTTTTGCTATAGCTGTGGAGCCAAGTGGGGTGGTAGCCATGCATGTCCACCTTCAGCTTATGAACGTAGGTACCATCCATAGCCATAGCCTATAGAGGTTGATTTTACCATCATCTCATCCTCGAATTGATCAAATCTCTCATCTTTTAATTCTATTTTGTAGTTAATTGTTGTTTTTTTTTAAAAAAGTCTATAATGTACCCACATATTATGAATTTGATCTAAAATTATAGACTTTTTTTTTTGTGGAAATTCAAATTCACTATTAGTTGGACTCCAAACATTTTCAATACATTTGTGGGTCATTATATTTTTCTAATTAGGTTGAATAGATTCAGTTTATTGTAGCCAATTGTTGAAGAAATGCTTTCAAAGTTGTTGGAATTTATTTCATGAGTGAAAATTATGAATTTTATTACTTATGGGTCCAAGTGAAAGCTAGCCTCAACTCTAGGGAGTAGGGCCCCTAAATTTAATTTTGTATGGATTTTTTTTTTCTTTCGACTCCAACATACATATTCAAGTCAACTGCTCAAGCAAACTACCAAATTAATCAAGTTTAACACATAAAAATTGAGTATCATTACTTTTGTTCAATATTTAAGAACAAAATTTACGCAATTTAATTTATCCTATAGCTATAAGTCTATGCTGTTATCTTTGAGCTTAAATTTATATTGACTCTATCTAAAAGCTGTGTTCTTAATAAAAATGGTGTTTAAATATTATTTTGATTCATTTACCTTGAAAAATGTCTGTTTTTCTGATGTAATTGTAACCTTTGTTCATTGCCATCAAATTTTCAAAATGTTAGTTTTTGTCTTTGTACTTTTAAAAAGTTATTATTACTATTTTGATCTCTATTTGTAAAATTTTAACACAAAGTTGGATATAACCAAAACATTTTAATATAAATTTATGGCTATATTTCAAAAAAATAAAATAAAATAGTGAACGAAGTGTCTGCGTGAAAATTTTGATTAAAATAAATATTTAGTTTGGAGTTTGGTGTTGATGTTGAACTTATAATTCTGAAAGTTTGGAGTTGTATATGTTGGATTTCTTTTCGCTGCTATATTTTTACTATACTGTACAATAGAGATGCACAATTGTTTTTTTGACAAGATAAGTTTTTTTTTTTTTTTATATTTTAAACGTAAAATGCTACACTTTTATTTAAAAATTTCAAAGAAAAAAACAAATAAATCAAACATATAAGTTGACTGTTATATTTAAAAATTCAAATTTTATATATTAGTAAAATTATATAAACACGCATCATATATATGCTACTTTGTGGCTAATTTAAAAATTAAACATGATTTATTTTATTATTTTAGTAAGTTCAAAAATAAAGAAAAACCGTTGGAGATGGGAATAGAGAAATGGAGAAGTCCATCCCTTTCAAGTTTCAAGGCCACAACTTGAATTGAAATCAACCAATGGCGATGAATGTAGGGAGTGGAAATATAGGGAAAGGGAGCATAAAAAAAAGGGGTAAAAGCCAAAAATTCATAAATATTTGGCTACTCCAAAAGCCCAAAAAACTAAATCGTTTCCTTTTCACCATGCATTCAGGGAGATCCACACTTGTCCATCTCCTCCCTACAACTTGCTTTCATCACCATTTCCCATCCTTCTACAACATTTTCAATAATAACCGGTCGATCGTTGACATCGGAAGCAAGAATTCAGCGATAATTGACGCATACTCTTTTCGTTTAGGTTGAAGGTTCAAATTCCCATACCTCGAATTTGTTGTTTTCAATAATATCACGATCGATCATGATCTCGACGGCAATTGACACTTACTATTTTTCTTTAGGTGGAAGGTTCAAATTCCTATAACTCTAATACGTTGTACTAAAAAAATAATCAACTTAAATTAATTATAGATAATTGTCAAATATTATGACATGTTTGTAAGTGGTTTTGTCAAATATCATGACAAAAAGTATTTTATTTGAAATAATATAATAGACTGCTGCTCAATCCAAAAGCTTAAATTGGTAGGTTGGATGATTTAAAAAATTGCAACAAGATCCAACAAGTAGAAATAACAATAGATGGGAAGGAAACAATAATGCAGATATGTTTGATAAATTTAATTAATATATGAAATGTCTAACACATATATGTCAACATGAGTTTAGCTCAACGATATTAATATTTACTATGAGGTTGTGAATTCGAATCCTATATTAAAGGTTGTATAATAATAATAATAGTATACAAGCGATTTTAAGAAATTGAAACATTAAATTTTTCTCAAAAGAAAAAAATTGATACATTAAAGGTTGTTTTTGAAAAGAAAACTTACCATATATGAAGTGAGATTTCTAACAATAAAGTTTACCGCTCTTTTTTAAAGAGCGTGTAGATTATGGCAACCAAATTTAGTTCAATTAGTTCACAAATTATTTCGGACCCACAGAAGTTGAGCTTTAAATCTCGGATCATGCAAGATAAAATTTTATTTAATATGGATTAACGTTTTCTGGAGATTTTGAAATGGGTTGTTATGGGAAAAATCATATCCCTGTTGGAAATAGAAAACAAAACAAAAATAATAATTGAATTTATCATCTCTTAAGTCTTAATCTTTCCTCCATGTCAAGATTATGGAGTTGTCAAATTCGAGAACGTAATGATTTCAGGAGGTGTGTAATTCATGGTGTGCAGTGAGGGCATGGCGGTATTTCCACTGGAACGGTAAATTGCAGTTCTTGTTTTGTTTGTTGTGTCAGAATCCCAAATCTTGTTCAAAATCTCACTCAACTTGCTAAACCCTCTGTAATCTATCGGAAGCTTTATTTATTTCCAGTTCTCTGTCTGGATTCTGAGCAAGCGGAAGGAAAAATCCCCAAATTTCTCAGTTTCTCTTTGCGTTCGATCCGAGGAGAGGAACAGCGATGTGTGGAGGCGCTATCATTTCTGGTTTCATTCCGCCGACTCGGTCTTACCGGGTCACGGCCGATCACCTTTGGCCGAATCTGAAGAAACCTAAATCAGTGAAACATTCGTCGGCAAGGTCACTGAGATCGCAGATCTTCGATGTTGATGATTTTGAGGCTGATTTCCAGGACTTCAAGGATGAATCCGACGTTGATTTTGATGAACATGACTTCTCGGATATTAAGCCGTTCATTTTCGCTGCTCCTAAGTCCGCCTGCTCTTCCACTCGCGGTAATGACTTGTTTGCATTTAAAAAAATAATAATAAATAAATAAATTCCCCTGTGTTCGTTCTTGTCTTTGAAGTTTGAGGACAATCCTGTTGGGTTAATTTCATGAATATATCGGTTCATTTTCTCGTTGACTTATTGTGATTTTTCCTTGCTTGTTTGTTTCATGTGGTAGAGAAAGCCTTCTTTCAATTTTCTGCACAATAATTGAACCAGTTTTCTGCTTTGTATAAGCGTTCTGAATGTTTGATCTTCTCTTTTATGGGATGAGGAGACTGGGGTGATCCGATTGTCGCTACTGCGATATTGAATTAAAATCTGTTTTTAAGTACGAAGTTCTTCAATTTTATGCATTCGTATCTCTATCAAATCTCTTTTAATCAATACCGAAGCATATTATGCATTTTATTTTTGCAGCTTCAACTCTCATTCCCATTTTATTTTTATTTTTATTTTTTAAGTAGCTCTGTGCTTTTATTCTGGCCTTTAAAAGAAATTTAATTTTGGATCTTTTCTCTGCTTGAGAAACATGTTGGTGTTCTAATCTTGCATAATTAACTCCAATTCTATTTGTTTATGTTCTTTATTTGATCACTTTCACACGTCTGCTTGTTACTGATTAATATTGTTTTTGACGTCTTCTTATCATTAAAGGATCAAGTGCTACAAAATCTGTGGAGTTAAATGGGCAAGCTGAAAAATCTGCAAATACAAAGAAGAGGAACCAATTTAGGGGAATAAGGCAGCGGCCATGGGGTAAGTGGGCTGCGGAGATCCGTGACCCAAGGAAAGGTGCCCGTGTATGGCTTGGTACTTTCAATACTGCAGAAGAAGCTGCAAGAGCATATGATGCGGAGGCGAGGAGAATTCGAGGCAAGAAAGCCAAGGTGAATTTCCCTGATGAACCTTTGCGAAATACCCAGAAGCGGAAAAACTCGCAGAGACAACATCTCAAGACGAACTTGAAAGCAAACCATCTTAAGTTTTCTAACCATCCAGATCAGAACTACCACATAACCACTGGTGTTGTGGAAGTGAAGCCTCCTACTGACCAACTTGGATACATGGATTCACTCCCTGCTAGTTTGAATAGTGCTCCATCTGACGATATGATCCTGTATTTTAATTCAGATGAGGGAAGCAACTCGATTGGTTGTTCTGATTTTGGATGGGGAGACCAAGGTGCCAAGACTCCTGAAATCTCTTCTGTCTTCTCAGCTAATTTAGAAAGTAATGATTCTCAGTCGTCAGAGGACATGCATCCACGCAAGAAACTTAGGTGCAGTGCAAGGGATGGCATAACTGCTGAAGAAATTGGTGCTAAGACACTGTCCGAGGAGCTCTCTGCCTTTGAGTCCCAGATGAAGGTTTTTCAGATGCCGTATCTGGAAGGGAACTGGGACAGTTCAATGGATGCCTTCCTTGGTGGGGATACAACTCAAGATGGTGGAAACTCAGTGGACCTTTGGAGTTTTGATGACATCCCTGTTGTAGATGGAGGAATCTTTTAAGCAAAGTTTTCCTTTGCGGGCTAGTTCATGTAAATAAAGCTACATGTTAGTCATCTCGATCCTTCTATCACTTCGATCTTCTACCATTCATTCCCATTTCACTTATTTTGTCTGAAATTCTGTTGGTTTGATGTTCCTGCTGTTTGCAGGAAATGTTCATGTCCATGATTGGAAACAGAAGTTCAAACGGTCAATCGTGCCCGAGGCAATCAGGACATGTTTATGGGGTAGCTAATGCCTAATGGGATAGGACTTTCAAGTTTATTCAGGTAGCAATACCTGTGAAACCTCGAATCTGCGTTGGTTTATCTCTTAAGTTTGTATCGACAATAAGTTATCTGTATCGATGTATCATAAAACTTGATTTCTCTCTTTACTACTGAGGATTCTCATCTCATGGAATGACTGATTTTTGATCTGTATGAATAAAACTTTTCTGTGCCAATCTTTTTAGAAAGAATATGAACATAGTTCGGGTTCATTCTATGACCAATATTCCAAAAGTAATGGGTCCATTAATAAACCTAATTGGTTTTGGCTAGGCATGAGTTTTGGTCAACCAACACTCCATATTATATAAATTACACAGCCTAAAGCATGGGCCATTTATGGCGTTCCCATAGGTGCCCCCCACATGCATTGGATTTAGAGCTAAAAGCATTTAATTGATACTATTATATTAGTTTTTTAATCTCCAATCCTGTAGCCTTTAGTCGAGGACTGATGTAGATTACTTTGAAGCTTAGTTTATTATTATAACCTTGCATGGGATCCAACCACATTCAATTATGTCATTTAAACTCAAAGTTGGGGTTTGGTTTGTGGATAAATGTCATAGTCGGGAAATGGTGGATGATCTTAGTTTTAAGTGTGATTTTTTGTTGGTAAAGGTTGAGGTGTCATATTCAACTTTTAGAAGTACCCAGTTTTTTCTTTGATTCATTGAATCAGAGTGGAGTTGGCTGTTCAGTTGTTTCAATCTGAACGATTTTGATCTTTTCATGTGGTGACTCAATTGGAAGGAACAGAAGTGACCAACATCAGTGTCTAAATCAGAACCCAAGGGCCTATTTGAAGCAATGTAGTGTGTGGTTTAACCAAAAAATTCCATCAAAACATTAAAATCCTCAAAAAATCGCGCGAAGACAATAGTGATCCTGGAAAACAAGGAGTTAGCACTCCGAAGCTCTTGTCAGTACAGGATCCCAAGAAGTAAAATCTCAAAGTCAAAATGTTTGCATACCTCCTTCATATTGTTTTCAGGTATTTATTTGAAAAGCTAGATAACTGTTGGAGGTATGGATTCCACCCCACGGTTATCTTCGAGATTCTAGGCATGAAATATACGGTGAGGTAACGTTAGAGATTAGTTCGATAACCACTTCAGAGTTGTCTAAGTTCGGTAGTTCAACGCTCATCGTTTCAAACTTACATCATGGGAGTCACACGTGGGATTAAATCGTTGACTTAATGATGCCAATGAAATTCAGCCTTGATCTGTATGTATATGATTTGTGAATTTGTAAGAAGTTAGAGTTCAGATTCTGAAAGTTATGGAATTAGCAAACCCACATAGTTTAGAATAATCAGAAGTTGGTTTGATATTTGAACTTTAGATTATACAAACTCTGAAACCAGGACTCGATTGTTTTGTTCAAAAAGCGAGGAGATTGTACTGCCCTGCTTTCAGAGTTAGCAGAATAGGACTAAGGAGAGTAGTGCATGATGTATGGTGGAGAATGACAAGGCACTTGAAAGTTGACAAATGCTTTTGCCTTCACTGCACACTACCATGAATCATAAGGCTAAAACTGGAGCAGCGGTTGCCGCTTGTTGGCTATGCGCTATGCCCAAACCCACCCAACTCCCCCATGTGGGCCTCTTGTCGCCCTATAATTTGTAGTGTACACAGTTGCTATTTTGTCCAAACTTCATCATCTCTTCTTAGGAAAAATTGGTGTGAAAGGTGAATTTCTGTGAGTGGAAAAAGTATAGACTATGAACAATGGGCAGGTATACAGTAGCCAATGAAAAACACATCCAACATTAGGCAAATGATTTTCAGCTTCTTCTTTCCGTTAGGAGGTAATTTGTGTCAATTGAAAGATAAGTACACATCAAGCTAATTTTTTAAGAAAATGCAAGTTTCTACACGTCCTCTGCTTGACTTGGAGCATTATTTAATGGTAAAGTTGATTTGATCCAATCGGAATCTCTTGAATCAATGAAAGCAGAGCTTAATAGTTTAATCATAGTGATAGTCGAGCCTTCATTTTTCTTGAGGTCAATTTCTTATGTATGTTAGTGTTAGCCTTCACAGATCTTTGGAGAGGCTTCGCCAATCTATAAAGCTACAGCAAGAATTTATTAAGTTTTCTATTAGAACTGCAATAAGTTAATAACCTTTGATTGAATCACGTTAGCTAGCTCCACAGTTAGACAAATTCTTTATTAGTCTCAAGATCGTGCCAACTAATTGTAGATTTGTTATATCATAATCTCTTTGAAGAATGTGAATAATTCAACCAGATACCTCAAAATTATTGAGGCTTTACCTTCCAATTTCCAATGATTTCATTTTTCAAACGTAGCCGCAGGAACTTGACTTTTTCTCGACCAGATAGTAATTACATCCATCTATGGGAAAACAACGTACACCCCAATTTTCCTCTGTTTCTGATCAAAACATCACATCAGAACTCTCTAATAGGCTCCCACTTTGGCATTAACATTGATTAAAAAAGAAATCCATTGTTTTCTTGCGACAGTAAGAGAAATTGGGCAGTAACAAAGCCTTCTGCTGCTTACCATAATTCATATATTATCTTGTAACTGGCCGCTTAAGTTTAATTGGTCTTCTCTGCCATTAATGGCGACTCAGAGAACTGGCCATGGCCAACCATTTTTGTTGTTTGTGATCTTCTTTTTGACCTTCATTTCCAGGCGTTGCTTTGTTGAAGTAAAATCCCATCCTCTGCCGGAAAATCATGCTGCTTTGTTCATATTTGGAGACTCTTTCTTGGACGCCGGCAACAATAATTACATCAACACCACAACTCTTGACCAAGCTAACTTCTGGCCCTACGGCCAAACCCACTTCGGATTCCCCACCGGAAGATTTTCCGACGGTCGTTTGGTGTCTGACTTCATCGGTAAGAAGATCTCCCATATATTTGGCCATGTCCTGTCTCTTCTTGTCTAAACCCATCTTTGTTTTGTTGTCTTGTCGTCTGCATTTCATGATATCTTTTAGCTGAATTCGCCAAGCTGCCATTGATCCCACCTTTCCTTCAACCTGGTTTTAGTGAATATCATAATGGAGTCAACTTTGCGTCTGCTGGAGCAGGTGCTTTGTCTGAGACTTTTCATGGGTCGGTAAGAACAACAAACATACCCTTTCATATAAAAAAAAGGCAAATCACATCAACTCTGCTTTCTGCTTTGTCCACAAAATCATCACTTTGATCTAAAAATTCTCAAAACCAACTCATGATTACTTACACATCCTAGAAACATGGAGACTTTTTAGTTGAGGAGAAGAATTTGACAACGTTTTCAGGTGATCGAACTCAAAGCACAGATAAAGTACTTCAGAGAGGTAGTAGAGATGGAGATTAAACGGAAGTGGGGCAAAGCCAAAGGTGGATTAATATTGTCAAAAGCTGTATATTTGTTTAGCATAGGAACCAACGACTACATGAGCCTCTTCTTAACCAATTCCTCTCTACTCAAATCCCACTCCAAATCTCAATATGTTGAGCTGGTGATTGGTAACTTGACAGCTTCCATCAAAGTAAGTAAATTTCAATTCAAGTAGTGATTCTCAACATTCAACAGTTGTGTGTTATGTTTGAGATTAAAAAGATGGTGGCTTTGAGTTTTGACAGCAAGTATATGAAAGTGGGGGCAGGAAATTCGGATTTATGAACCTGCCGGCGATGGGTTGCAGCCCAGGGCTGAGAGTGGTTGATGGGGGGTGCTTGGAAGAGCTGTCAGCATATGCAAACATACACAACCAGAGATTGGTGAGGGTTCTTGAAGAGCTGGAGAAGCTGCTGAAGGGGTTCAAATACTCATTGTACGACTTCAGCAGCAGGCTGAGGCAGAGAATGGAGAGGCCATTGAAATATGGATTGAAGGAAGGGAAGAAGGCATGCTGCGGCACAGGGAGTTATGGAGGAGTGTTCAGCTGTGGAGGAAGAAGAGGAGTGAAGGAGTTTGAATTGTGTAGGAATCCTGATGAATATGTGTTTTGGGATTCTTACCATCTCACCGAGAATCTCCACAAACAGCTTGCTCATGAAATGTGGACTGCCTCCTCACCCGATTCCTGCAATCCCCGTTATTCTATCGAGAATCTCTTTCTAATCTAACTCTTTTCACTCTCTGTAGTAAAGAATGAACAAGACGTCTTGACCGCTGAACTAAGCTTACGTTATCTACGAAATTAGATAGAAGTTCAGTAAATGCTAGATAGATTTTTTAATTTAAGATTTTTTAATGTACCACCAATTATCATCTTACAATCAAATTATATATATTATCACCAAATGCAAGTCAAATCAATTTTATAAAACTTGCAGTTCAAGCACCTGCATTCTTTCTTCGTTATAGATTTATATGCGGACTTTGAATCATTTGAAGTGATCCATCCAAGTAATTGTATGGAAGTTCATGGTTTCATTTTTCTTGGTGTTCTTCATATTATATATCGTCAAATGCAAGTCAAATCGATTATATTAACCATTGACTTTTAGTTCAAGCAACTGCATTCTCACTTCACTATAAATTTATATGTGGTATTTGAATCACTTGATGTGATCCATCCAAGTAAATTGAGATGGCAAGTTCATGGTTATCTTCATCTTTCTTGGTGTTCTTCATAGCCAGTTTTTTGTCCCTGCAATGTTGCAGATGTGATGATCTTAAGCCACCGCCAAAACATGTAGCTTTCTTCATCTTTGGGGATTCCCTTTTTGATGTTGGAAACAATAACTACATCAACACCACTACCAGTTTTCAAGCAAATTTCTTGCCATATGGAGAAACCTTCTTCAAATTCCCAACTGGGCGATTTTCTGATGGCAGATTGATTCCTGATTTCATTGGTAATTAAATGAATGAGTTACCAAATTACATACATCATTTACTGATCAAGCTTGTTTGTTTGCAGCTAAATATGGTAACTTGCCATTAATCCGTCCATATCTTAATCCCAAGAATAAATTTTACCTTCATGGAGTGAACTTCGCATCAGCAGGAGCAGATGCTTTAGTTGACACCCATCAAGGATTTGTAAGTCATCTACTTCTTGTTGACACTCACATGATATTTTTGGATCGAGCTTTTGCTTATTGTACAAGATTCCCTACCGCCGTCCCCCGTGGAAGTCCGGGCTGTGTCTCACTCCCAGTGTGGTTGATCATTCGAAAAGACCAACTTTGACGGTTCAACGAAAAATCGTTGGATTCATATGTGTCTGCTCTCCTATAGTTTTCAAATAGGGTACAATAAGTGGTTTTATGCATGTGTTGTTTTGTTCGAAGGTAATTGACCTGAAAACCCAGTTGAGTTACTTCAACAAAGTGGCAAAGGTTTTAAAGGAGGAGCTTGGACATGCAGAAGCAAAGGCATTACTATCAAGAGCTGTCTATTTTATCAGCATTGGAAGCAACGATTATCCTTTCACTACAAATTCCAGCCTCTTCCGATCCCACTCTCCACAACAATATGTTGACTTGGTCATTGGAAACTTAACCACTGTCATTAAAGTAAATACCCAAACAAACACTTCTAATTTCTTCATATATATGGATTGTTACTTAACAGATCTCTGTTTATAGTTAATAAACATCTTTGATCTTTGAATTGTATAAAGTGTTTTTTTCTTCTCTCTGATATGAATTGATTTGTTTTGCAGGGAATCCATAAGAATGGAGGAAGAAAATTTGCATTTCTTGGTGTTGGGCCTATAGGTTGTGTGCCCACAGTGAAGGCAACTCTATTACAAGGCAAAGATGAATGCTTGGAAGAGATCACACAACTTGTAAAACTACACAACAATCATCTTTCCAAAACTCTCCTACAGCTTGGAAAGAAGCTTGAAGGATTTGTTTATTCTTATGCTGATTTTTACGCCATTGCCATTGAAGTAACAAACAACCCTGCTAAATATGGTAAGCGAAAGTAAAACTAATACGTAAACTTTGTGTTATAGCATGGTTTCTGTGGATTTAGTTCTGTAATTTCCTCTCAGATTTCAAGGAAGGAAAGGTGGCATGTTGTGGAAGTGGACCATTTAGAGGATACAGTAGCTGTGGAGGAAGGAACGGACAAGAGTATGAGTTGTGTGGGAACCCCAGTGAGTACTTGTTTTTTGATGGCAGCCATCCCTCTGAAAAGGCCAACCAATTGTTTGCTCAGTTTCTATGGAATGGGAGTTCTGAGATCATCAGGCCTTACAATCTTAATGTTCTGTTTCATCTCTAAGTTTGTGAACTCATTCCCATCTACTCCATTGTTACATGTTTCTCAATAATGAAATAAGTGTGGTTTATTCTTACTTGGTGCAACTCACAACATTTGGCCATCAAATTCAGAATATACTAATGTTTGATAGCTCTAGTCCTTAGAGATTCATATCTAAAAGTAACAACAACGCACACTCATCAGCACTCAGGTGAAACCACAACCACCGCCAGCCAATATTGAAAACAAAAGAGAGGAGGGAAGAAAAATTTTGTTGATGTTGATTTTTGCTGTGTCGTAGAACGACATGAACTGAACTGAGCTGTTGTAAGCAAGTGGAAGGTAAAAGGTCTAGATAGAGCACTTTGACGCTCAAGTTAGTTCTGAGTTCGAGCTGAAGAAATCAGCTTCAGATGTAATTGCAGTAATTGCATACTTCATTGAGTGGGGTGAAGATGTATTTGTAGGAGCTTGAGGGGCAGTTAAATGTCCCATCAATTGTAGAACTGTTTGTCGAATTGGTGAATCACTCTTCACTAAGAGCTCGAGGACAGTTTTGCTTCGAGGAGTGAAGTCCATTGGATTGATTGGTAGGGGTGTACAGATATGACCGACAAACCCAACCGACGACGATGGGTCTGTTTCTACTCTCAACTAGCGGTCAGTCAGTTTTGTATTTACAAAACCGATGGTCAGTCGACTGATTACCATAAATTTTCCCAAAATCGACCGACAGATATATATGTAAAAAAAAAATTTGTTTTACAACCTGTTTCCTTCATTTTTACGTTTGTTATTAATTTTTTCTTGATTTGTGTACATTTATCTCTCCTCTTTTCCTTTTCTTTTTCTCGTTTTCCTCACTTTCTTTAATCATTCCTTGGGTTTCATCTCTATTCTCACGTGGCCTCCATCCTTTCACTCTCATCTCCTACCTTCCACCCCCTCTCCCCTGTGTCTTCTTCCACCTTCCATTCTCGCGGCTTGATTTTCGCCCCAACCAACTCCCGTCGCTTGATTTACGCCACGACTCAGCCTCCACCACTCAACACCGTCAAGGCCCACCTGCTGTCGTTGCAACCCACCCCGCTGCTCAGTTTTCACCGCTATCCACCGTCGAACCCGTCTTCTGTTGCTCAATAAAAACAAAAGGTAAAAAGGAAAAAGAAAGAGGTCAATTTGTCGATAACCGATCGACCGAACCGACAAAAAGTTGGTCGGCGAGGACTTCGCTTAATCGGTCGGTCGAAGGGGATTTTGGCCTCAAAACCAACCCAATCGACTAATGTACACCCCTATTGATTGGGACCTCGTCGTTAGTCGACACCATTGAATTCGACTCATGTGGCTCTCAAAGCTTCGCCTCCAAGCTCGACAATAGATAAACTTAGGAATTCGACCATATCTCACCGCATGATAAGTTATATTTTTACCAACATTCAACTAATCAACATCTAACTTTGGAGTTTACCAATGTATTCACGACAAACCATCATATTGCTTAGATACAATAAGACAAAGCGAATTTTGAGAGAGAGAACACGTAGCTTAGAAAAAGCGAGAATCTTTACCACATGTGTCTTAAATCTTAATTAATCAAGAAAATAATGACTTTTCTTTCCACGCGACAAAACCTGATCTTGAACCCAAGATGTCATTTTCACCAACTTCAACAACGCTTCTGAATTGATTTCTTTCTCATTTCTAAACCAAACTTACAATCAACTTCCCATGGCGAATTCGATCCTCTGTTTCTGTGTAAAGCGTGTTCATATTTTCCGGCGCTGGGTCTGTTTGCGACCATGATCAGCATGTTCCTCTGTTTGTTCTTGGGGATTCCTTTGTTGACACTGGAAACAACAACTACATCAACACCATTCCTGTTGCCCAATCCAATTACTCCCCATACGGCCAAACTTTCTTCAAATTTCCCACCGGAAGATGGTCCGATGGCAGAGTTCTTCCTGATTTCTTGGGTACCCATTTGCAAATTCAACTCCTTTTCATTTCATTACACTTCTAAAATGTTCATACTTCAACTCCTAATCTGTTGCAGCTGAATATGCAAATTTGCCGTTGCTTCTTCCATATCTTCATCCGGGGAATAATCATTTCTACACTCATGGCATAAATTTTGCATCCGGAGGAGCAGGAGCTCTGCATCAAACCCATCAAGGATTAGTAATTATTACATATTCTGTGTAGCCTCAAATATCAATTGATTCAAAGCCTAACTGTGATACTATGTCTTAGAACACAAATACTGCTAAAGCCCACAAAGCTTTTTAATCTTTTAGAGACATTCTTGAACACAAACACTGGAAATTTCAGGTAATAAGCCTCAAAACTCAGCTGAGCTATTTCAACAAAGTGAAAAGGATTCTGAGAAAGCAACTTGGAGGAAGTACACAAGCAGAGACATTACTGTCAAGGGGTGTTTACTTAATCTCGATCGGTGCGAACGATTACGGAGCCTTCGCTTCAGACTCCAAGCTTCTCCATTCCTACTCATTGGAACAATATGTTGATATGGTGATTGGGAACTTGACCTCTGCCATAACAGTAAAGCAATGGATCCCCTATGTGCATTATTAATAATGTGTCTGACATTTTGCTTTCTTATTTCTTACTGTGAATTACTACATTGATTAGGAAATCCATAAGAGAGGAGGAAGAAAATTTGTTGTGCTGAATGTTTGGCCTTTGAATCATGTACCTGCTGTGGAAGAAGCAGTTGCATCACAAGCCGGCAAAGATTCCCGGGTGGAACAGCTTACACAGCTTGTAGAGTTGCACAACAGACAACTTTACAAAGCTCTACAAAAGCTCTCTACAGAACTTGATGGATTCATATATTCCTATGCAGACTTCTACAACGTTATCAATGGAATTATCAGCAACCCTGCAAAATATGGTGCTTGAACTTGAACAATCTCACAAGTTATACCAAACTGTAATGTGGGTTTGTGAGCGTTTGTTTGTTTTGGTTGAACAGGAATCAAAGAAGTGAAGGCTGCATGTTGTGGAAGTGGGAAATTCAGAGGAATACAAAGTTGTGGAGGGAAGGGTGATGCAAAAGAATATGAGTTATGTGGAAATCCTAATGAGTATTTGTTCTTTGATTCCAACCATGGAAGTGATAGAGGATATAAAATACTTGCAGAGATGATATGGAATGGAGATTCAGAGAGTTCCAGACCCGTAAATGTCAAGTCTTTATTTCAATCGGTAATTCAAAATTAGATGGATTTTAGCTTTGTGAATCAAGTTAAGATAATGAAACTTTATGATTATTTGTTTGCCTTGAAGAAATATATTCTTCTTGAGCTTCGGGACATTTTGAGGATGCTTTGTTGCTTGATCTTGAATTAATATTGGCAGAAAAGAACCGTGTACTCAAGGGAATTTTACTCATAAATTCATAACAATATGTATTTCTTCGACAATTTTTTGATTTTGGTGCCCTTTTTGAAATCAAAATAGCTCAAGAACAATTTGAAAAACAATCCCTCAATTTCCATACTCAGTTTCTGAGATAAACTAAAGTTCGAAAAATATATTTTTTTTAAGTATCATGTGAGCGTAGAGATTTTTGGTTCGAAAATACATGCCTTAATCAAAATACACTTTACACTTACAATAATATTACAATCTTTAACAACTCATTACAATTTCATAGTCAAAATTTGAAGCTTCAAAGAAACAACAGTAAGTGAAATTTTCAAATACAGTTTCAAAACAATTATTTAATGATTGCCATGATTTTTAGGTTATAATTAGTACGCTTAAAATATTTTTTAAATTATCCAAATTCTAAGGCTTACTTTGATAAAAATTGATATTAGAGGTTACCACCTAAATTTTCAATAGAGCATGAACAAAATGTTTGATCAATCAGCTGACTGTTGTATTCATTTCAGCAAAAATTCAGACGAGAATCTAGCACCTAAGACTAATATACGTTTTATATGGACGTCTACTATACCTTTTGGGCAAATAATTTCTCATATATCCCAAAACAAAATTGTACCAAGACACCAGTGTTGAAGTCAAAATTTCAATCTCATAATCCGAAACTGGAATAGGAAAGAAAATATAAGTCAATTTTGTAGCCAAAAAAGGTGGTACGCCCCCTACTAAAACAAGAAAACTCATAAAATGATTAATCAACTCAATGGGAACCTTCCCTCAGAACCAACCGGAAGCCGGAGGTGCACCACCTTCAACTGCTGGTGCGGGCGGTGGGACTGCAGCATCCCAGCCGTCTGCTGCTCCTGTAGCAACTGAAAAAAACCAAACGGCATTGAAAGAAATGAGAGGTAGGACCACAACACGCATAATGAAAATCTTAAAACAGAACCTGCCTGACTGTAACTACTATGCATTGCATCTTACAACTCCTGGTCAATGTGTCTAAAACACAAAACCTATGCAATAGCAAGTTACGAGGTAACTAGATGGTTCTGTTGGGTACTAACTAAAAACTTAAGCAAAAGTAACTCGTCTAAGTTAACAACAATACCACAATATAGGCACACAAACATTCAAACGAATCGCAAAAGAAAAATTGGATTCAACCTGGCTCTTGGGACCACTCGACATTTGAAACGGGTGGAGCAGCAGCAGCTGGAACCACATCAGGAGCACCCCACTGAGCATCAGAAATCTGTCCAGCCCATTGATCTGAAGCAACAAGCGGAGCAGCTCCAAAATCTGCAATGCCATAATCTGGGGCAACAGCCTCTTCTTCTTCTTGCTCCTTAGCTTCCTCAGGCTCCCGATAGAAAAACAAATCCACCTGCACAAGAAATACATGCATTCATTCATTCCAAGCCTTTGATTTAATTTTAAGTTCAAATAGAAGATATAATTCTGAATTTACCATCACGTCCCACTTATGCCCCGCACGAATTGTTCCACGCATCTGTAGAACCATCCTTGCCAGAAGCCAAAATAGACATCCTATACTGTGTTTCCCCTTGTTATTAGCTGGAATCCCAATATCAACATACCGCATTGGTGAATCAGTGTCACAAAAGGCTATTGTAGGAATGTTTCCAAGTGCACCTTCCTTGATGGGCTGCAAGCAAGAAACCAATCAGGCAACACAAATAGCAGCAACTAGGAAGTCATGTATACGTATAACCAAGACTAAGAGAACAAACAAGAGTGAATCTAGAATTGGTAAGAGAATATCATCCTCTTCTACTAAAACTTATAAATGCACACTATTATTAATCTTTTAAAAGGATTAAAGCACCTGATGATCAGTTCTAGGATCAGTAAGTATCAGAAGTCGTGGTTCGTTGAATGAGGTCTGAAGCTGGTTGGTGAATGTTCCCGGGGTGTGCCTTCCAGCAATTGCATGAGCACCAGTGTATTGAGCAAACTTCAAAACGGCTCTCTGACCATAAGGCCTAGCAGACTGGACAATGATATCTTGAGGATTCTCAATAGCCACAATTACTCTGGCAGCCAATTGGAGTTTCTCCCATGTCTTACCAAGATTAATAATGTAAATTCCTAAAGCAAAAGAATTAAAAAAACAACCATTCGTCGTTATTTGCTGAATAAAATAGAAGCTCACAGTATATTATGTGACTATAATAACAACTCATATAAACAACATATTCATGAAGCAGATATCAATACTCGTTGACCCCTAATAAAATCAAAATTCCTTAACGAAACAGGCGTATGATAGGACATAAAAATAGGGGAAAAAACTGATTCTTCAAATAGAGGTCAGGTTAAGTACTTCAAATTTTCAACCGTATGAACCAACATTTTGGGATCAAATTCAAAATAGCATCGCAGGTGGGTGTCGCACTCCAAACACGAAAACTGATAGTTGAATAAATTGGAGATGGTTCATCGGTGTTCCTTGGCCGATACAGTAAAAACTAAATAGATTAACTGAAAATTAGTCAGAAACTGAAAGCTCACGTCTACGAATAGTAATACAACCACAAGTTTTAACAAGGGAATCACAGATAAATACAGGCATTGACAAAATTTTGAGAACTCCATATCTAAAAATTAAGGTGGCGAAAGACAAGTAGATAACAACGGACGCCCATTAGCACTCAAATCTTCGGTCCTAGCAAAACCACCGCCAGAATGGGATACAGAGAGAATATTAAAAACTTAATCTAATCAATTATCTTGGAAGTCCTTTACGGAGTTAAACAAATGTGAAGACTAAAAGTAAAATGTATTCATAACAATACCGTCGTTCCGGCGCTTGAAAACGTATCGCTCCATTTGGAAGTCACAGTTCTTGGTTCCTAGATGAACCTCGGCCGCCAACATCATCTGGATGTCGGCCTCCTTCTGCGAGAGCTGACGCGGTGCTGTTGCAGTCGCCATGGCTGAAACTCTGTGAGTCAAGAGTTGCGTTAGGGTTTCAACAGAGAAGAAACAAAGCGGGGTCTGTGAACGGAAGCGGCTGAGAGGGCTGAGAGAAGAACTAGGGTTTCTTTTTTATTTTTTTGTTCTGCTCCAAAATATTTTCAAGATTGCCATTGGGCTGGGCTTATAACAAATTAAATGTTTTCACAATTTTATACTTTTTTATATATTTATAAAATTAGTATTAAATATATATATATATATATATATATATTTTGAAACAATAGTATTAAATAATTATATTGTAGGGAAATTAGAAATGTTTTTTTTAATAATCCATATTTCATAAATGCCGAAGTTCATGATTATTTACACTTTTAGATTTCTATCTCTAAAGGATCATTTTTTCCTTTACCAAAACACTCTTATTAATGATTTTCCTACCACATTTATTATGATATTTTAATTTATATTTTTCTAATAATTTGACTTTTAATTTAAGATAATATATTTTTTAATAAAATCATCACAATTAATTCTATGGATTTATCTATTAATAATTTTTTTTATATCTTATCTATTAACCATTTTTTTCATTTATTTCTCTATTAATTTCCCATTGTTGTTTAAAAAAAATTTGATGGAACGTACAATGTCCTTGATTTTTTTTTTAGTACAGTATATCGGGGTGGGAGATCAAACTGGCTATACTTGCTTTTGGCATGTCTTTGATTTTTGTTGGTAGCCTAGAAAGTGTGAAATTGATTCTAATTAATGAGCTGTGTCTATGAGTGTAGCAATAGTTATGGTCATATTTAGACGACGATGACCTACATTTTTTAGACTTTGAGGTGGAGGTAACTTCTCTACGATCATAATCAATGCACATCGACATTTTTTTTAGGCTCTTGATCTTCTGGAATGTCTTTCTCAAGTCTATGCTTGCACCCTTCTTGCTAACCATCCTCTCACTTTCTCTTCCCTCCACTTTTGAATCACCAGCTTAATTTGCCCTTTCATTGTCGCTTGGAAACTAATATAACCACACTCCCCCATGCCCTAAGGAAAAAATATAACGTTGCAACACTTCAAACAAATTTTAAAGACAAATTAATGCTCATTTGTATTTATAAAAGGAAAAGATAGTACAACAGTACAACGTCATCCACCAACATATCCCTAATTATTTATAGAGAATTTCTAATTGTTGTTTCTAGATAATTTTAAGTTACGTACAACGTCTTTGACGTTCATTAGTAGCCTAGAAAACGTGAAACTGATGCTAATGTGTTAAACTTGTGACTGTAATAATGATCATTGTGGTCATTTCAGGCGATGGTGACATTTACCATCTTAGACTTTGGAGGTTGGGGCAACTTCCCTACAACAACCGTAAGTTATTCTCAATTTCTGCATCGGTAGAAATGGTTGAGGCATCAATCACATTAAACTATCTCATTTATACCATATAATTAAATAGTTAGTGTTTTTTTTTTAATTTAAAGTAGTGGTTGATCATTAGTAGGGTGTCCATTTACCACGTGGAGCCTACTCTAAACGGGGCGGGGAATCCATTTCCCGTATTTGTTTCTCATTCCCTGTTTTGCCACTTTTATAATAATAATAATATTACTATCAAATGTCTAAAATTTTCTGTCTCCCAATCTCCTAAAATTTTGTGGGAACAGGGACCCCTACTTATTAAGGTAGGAAAACACAAAAATAAATGCAAAAATATTATTATGTCGTTTAGTAGTGAATCTAGTGAAATTTTATGTAAAATATTCTTAATTGAGAGCGTGTGGATTCATTATATTTATTAACTCGATGTTGAAACTTTTTTTTTATATAGATTGAGAGTTTGAATAAAAAAAAATTCTAAAAATAAAATAAAAACAAAAAAACTYGTGGATCCAGCGCTTAAGACCATCGGCATACGTAGGCTCTCTTAGGTAGGATTCGACTCTTTTACACAAGGTGTGGGTTGCGCCATTGACAAGAAAAGGTGGCCCATTTTCTTCTGGGAGGCCCATATGAGGTAAAATTTAAAATTATTTCTCCGATTTGTGGGGGGAAAAATGTACATTTTAAAACTTCGATCTACGAACTAGATACCTATTCTAAATCTCAATGATTAAGTAATTAAAAATATTTATTTTAAAACTTCGTGACCAAATAAATGACTATCTTAAATCTTTTAGAACTAAAAATGTATTTTTCCATAAGCTAATATACTCCAAAATTAATTTATGTACTTTTGAGTAAATCCAATACCGTCGTATTATTGCCTTAAATTCTAAAATTACCAATCAATCAAGTATTTAGTTATTAGTTCATCGTAAGCGAACGCAATACTGTTTTATAATATAGTTTTTTAAGGGCATATTTGGGAGTGGATTTGACACGACTAAAATCACGTTTACTCATATCAAAATAACTTTCATTTTAAAATAGAATGTTTGACAAGTATTCGTAAGTGATTTTTGAGTGATTCCAATCCATCATTCGGAGGGAAGTGAAATTTGATTATAAAAATTAATAAAAATTAATTTTTAAAATGATTATTGTTTTAATTCTCAAAATCGTCTTTCATTCACCTTAAACTTTGAGATTTTTATCACTCTCTAACTTTATTTATCTTTGATTTTGTTTATTCTCTACAAAATTTTTGTAGTCACTCTCTAAATTTTTGTCTCACTCTCTAAAATTTCTCTCTAAAACTTTTGTCAAGTTCTCTCTTTAAACTTTAAATGGTAATCATTCAGAATAATTTTTAATTACATAAAATCACTCGAAAAAGTGTGTAATCAAACGTTAAAATAATTATATAAAAATCACTTTCACAAAATTAATTATTATTAAATCTATTTTGCCAAAATCACGCCTTCTAAAATCATTCTCAAATAGGCCCTAAAAATTAAAAAAGAAAAATCCATTTCATATATATATATATATATAGTCGGCAAGTGATATTGTGTTTTTTGTAAAATGATGGGAACAAATCAATAAACAAAGTTTTGGACAAGATGGAAACCGTGTCCCTTGTTACATGAGACATGAGATTGACAATAATAAAAACATCTTATGAAAATTATGTCTGCCAATCAGTCCTCATACAGAATATTGCACTGTCTATATAATTTATTTCTTTATTTCATTCTTTTCTTATGTTTCCTCACTTCATTAATGTCTCTCTCAGCTCTGCTTCAAAATTTTAAATCTTATCTATAATTCAATCTATTAATTTAACATGGTATCGAAATGAAAATTTTATGCTTACAAAAGGTAGTTTTCAATAGATGTTAATAGTCTACCTTTTTCAATATAACAGTTTGGGTTGTGGATTCGAACTAACGTATATTTTAGTCGGAAATAAATGTATTAATTAGTTGAATTATGTTCAGATTGACTATTAATAGTCTACTTGTTGAGTTTGTGCTAATTTTCAGATTATTCTTTCTCTCTGAACAAAATGTAAATTCTAATAATCTTGCAATGTCACATGAATTAAATCGCACCAAATCTACATTGATTTTGATGTCTTTTTAATTTGGACTTAAAAATAGCTAGGTTTGTTATTGATCTCTATTTAAGCACATGGCTGATGGGAGGCTGTAGCACATGCCCCTTTGACTGAACAAATCTTAGTGGGGATTTCAAATCTTCTATTATTGGCCCATTTTTAACCTTCACTCAAGGCTTTGGACAGGGAGGAGAGAGTACATTTCTTATCACCAAATTCAAATTCGCATAGAGAGATCCAACTTTCTCATGGTCGATAGTGACAAAATCAAAGACGTGGTTAGTAGCTTCCTCATCAGGACGTTTTGAAGAGTTATCAGACACAAAATTGGAGATAGCATCTATCTGCAATTTCTTGGGATAACTCTTCATCTTCGTTGTATCATGGTTCAGAGAACTCCCACAATCACAGGACAAGGATGATACAGCAAAAGGTGGACGACGATAGAGGTGTGACAGCGATAGACTCAAACACCATTTTGTAATCTGTGAAGACTATCAGTCTTAATTGTATTGAGATCCATCACCAACATGATTTGGAAAATTTATCTAATCCTTTCTTACCTGTCATGGTGGAGAATAAGACAACTTGGAGGCAATTATTTTTCTTCCAATCCTAAATAGAGATGCTATAATCGACAAAAATCTCTCCATTAATTGAGAAGTCTCCCTCCGACATCATTGAATAGGGTTGAGAATGTTGTGATTTTGGATAAGGTATTTAGTGAACTAAAATTTATTCATGTTTCTCCTCCTTTGAACATACAAACTATTTTATTGGTCAAATGTGTCATTTCTGATCGTTTCTCTATTGTTTAGAATATTATTTTCTGTCGTGAATTCTTATTGTGGTGTGTGGTCACGATTCTTCTGATGTAACACTTAGCGATCCAACTTTTTTATTTTTAATTTAATGTTTTTCTCATGCCCTTTTTATTGTATTTGTGTGTGTGTGTGTNCTTTCATTTTTTCTTTAGGAAAAAGGAAATCTCCGGGCCAATGTTAGTGGTGTGCTGGTGTTTCACCCCCACATGTTTTTGCAACTTGGAAGTTAAGAAATCCAAACAAAGGGGGGTTACACACCACACAAAAGACAGCCAGAAATTTTGGTAACAAAGTTTTACATGACAACTATTTATATATTATATATAATTTTGTAACTCCACAAATTAAGAGTACATAATAAAAAGGTTTTTAATTTTCTATTTTTTAAATTTATGTTRTGATATATTTTTCACCTTTTTTGAAACATAAATCCATAGAAATAAAAATAAAATAGTAATTTTGTTATTTAACTTTTTGAATCCAAAACAAACTAGAGGGGATATATAACTGTCCTCTCCTCTCTCCACCTCTGATTATTTAATGTTGGTTCTACTGAAAATGGTGAGGCAAATGTTATTACATCCTTGAATAAATCGAATTGATACATATGAAACACGTCGAGAGGGTATTGATGGGGGCCGAACCCAATCCCGAACCCGAACCGAAAACAGGGTAGGGTGGGAGAAGGGGGGGACATGATTTAGTTGTGGAATAAGCTAGGCTTCATGTTTCTCAACACATAACTATGATGAAAGAAACGGGTCAGCTGGACCACATGGCAATAGGCCGGTTTTAGATTCGGTGGAAATTAACTTCTTCTGTCTCTCTTAATGTTCATATCCCATGCATCCATTTCCTTCTCTATATTCTCTGTTTTTTTGGACCACTGATGAAACATGATATGTGTGTGATCTTCCCTTTAAGATCTTTCCCCCCTCTACGGATCTATCCATGTCTAATATGGCCATTTCACACCCTACCTAGCTAGCTACTATTCTACCTTTTGCTTCTAAATCAACAAAAATATCATATATAGATTAGAGAAATTTAAATATTTCACACCACTTTTATGAGTGTTATAGGTAAGAAAAAGTAATAGTTTTTCCGATTCGAATCTCCTTTTATCTATAGAATTTGAATTGGCTTTAATATAAGAAATATTAATGGTAATTGCCTTTTCAAATTTCAATTCTCCTCGTCTGACAGAATTCAATCCTGTTGACTATAGGTTTTCCTATTTATAAATAAAGGGTAAAGACTCCTAATTAAAGTATGCTACAAAATCCTACTTTGTGCTATGTTTCACACACAAAACCTTGATTCTAATTTAGGCATTGAACTAGGTGTGAACAGCACCACACTGGTGTGTAATAATCTTTTTATTTTGCAGGTTTTGTCAAATGTTAAGAATCCCACATTGAAAATAAAAGGAATCTTACAATAGTTTATAATAGACATGAGCTACTCCTCTCATTGCCAATTGGTTTTGAGGTGGAATCTCATGAATATTAATATGGTATCAGGGTCCAATAAGAAGCTTAAACGAGCATCCGGTCCATAAAAATTGGATCCGACCAAGATCGATGAGCCTAAAAAGGGATCTTACAATGATTTGTAGTAGACATGGACTACTACAAATGTAAATTTAGCTGACATCATCTTCACAATCATTTTGAATAATGAAGATGGGAATTTGCTCATGATGTATGGAGAATTTGATTCTGTATGCAGCCAACGTTTAGGATGAAATGTTCGAATAAGAATATAAATAGGTAATTCCTAAAAACCATATTCTCCTCAAGGAGAAAAATAATGTCTCTAATTTGTTTAATTAGCCAAGCTTATAATACATTATTCAATGGACATTGTGGTTTATTTGGAAAATGGATCCAATTAGACATTTTCAAGAAAGATAAACTTTTTATTTAGTTTACCATTATTTAAAAAAAAAACTAATTCATGATTAATTAAAAATGTACATTATAATTTCAACCTAATTCCTGAGTAAAGAATTGAATGACTAGATGGGGATGGAAAAAAGAAAAGGGAGTTGGAAGTTGGCAAGTTGGTACCTCAACAACCTAACAGCTCTCTTTTACAATTGAGAGAAGAAGAAGAAATTATAAAAAAAAAAAGAAGAAAAAAGGAAGGGCCAAATAGGGAATAATTTGTTTTTGTATATATATATATAACAATATTTTCTTAATAATTAACTTGTTCTTCTTGCTAATTATTATTCCCTCCCAACCCACAACCAATTTATTCTGCTTTGCTCTATGCCTTATACTTCACACTTTTGATTCACCTGTGGACCATAGCTTATATGAATTATTAAATCCAAATATTGGTTGGATCTTGCTCAAAACATTATAATATACAACCTTAATTGGAGTCTAATTAATTATTACATATGGTTATTATGATTAATTTCATGCTTTTTGGATTAGAGGCAACAGCATCATTGATTGTCTTGTCTTAATAAGCCACAACTTCCCCTAATCTTCAATCATGTTAAATGAGATGTCTTCAAATTATCATCAATCAACACTCATTCCTTTCTCAATCAAGTTTCAATACTTTATTCCTTCAAAAAAATATAATATTTTATTTAACAAAAATGGATCTGGGAAAGATAACCATAATGAAAAAAAGATAATCAAAATAGAAATTTTAGGTTGAATTACCAATTTAGTTGAAATAGTTTGGAATTAGATTCAATTGGACTCCTATGGTTTGGAAATTTTTGAGGTAGTTCTTATGTTCTGGATTTAGCTACGGTTTGAACTCATTCTTTCTGAACTCTTTACTAACTTTTATTAACCATCAAGTCATCCCACGATGGTTGAGAGATTCCCTTCCAACGGTAGCCCAAATAACATTAAGTTCTATTTAATAATATTTATTCCATTAGAAAAATCAATTTATAAATGCCAAAAAAGAACTTATTTTATTATTATTTTTTTGATGCATCATGTAGAAATAACTTTTTAATTTGAGATAAGTGTCTTAATTAGTAAACTATACTAAGTTAAATATCTTATTATTGAATAAATAATTATGTATAAATTTTTAGTATGAATTCCAATTAGCGCCCTAATTAATCATTTATGTCTGACCATATAAAAGTTTCTCCACACATTAGAAGATAAGGTTTGAAAAAAGCTCCTATATATTAATGTGATTTGTATAACACATAGTCAAGGTCTCCTCCATTAATGAGAATAAACCGCCCATGAGAGTTTTAATAATCCTCTTTGAAAATGAGAAGAAAATGAATAATCAAATCATTTAGCTCTGTTTGACAATAATTTTATTTATTGTTTTTTAAATTATAGTTATTTACTTTTTCTTTTTGTTTACTTTTTTCATTTTATAAAAATATTTTCCCAAAATTCAACCAAATTACACACAAATATATATATATATATATATATATTTGACTATAATATTTAAAATATTTCGAAACATGTTACTAACAAACCAACTTCTATATAAAATTATTTAAAAAGTTTAGTTCAAGTATATATTTTAAAATTTTATTTTGATTAAATATTTTAATTAAAAGTGAACAACATTTATTTATCTTTGGAAAAAAAAAACATCTGTTTATCAGATGCTTTGGTATATTTATTAATCGCATATATTTAAAATGGAGTAATCCTATTTTTTAGCTTCTTTTAACTATATTATTCCTAACAAATTACTCAGTAATAATTAACATCTACTTCCTCATGAAAAGCAATTCATTATATTTCTTGATATCATAACAAATTAAATGCAGTCAAGCATCAGCGCCTAACTTAAGTGCCTCTAAACCGCGTGAAATGAACGCCACATATGTCGAAGGTTTTTCGTTGTCTTAAAAAAAGTAGAAATCTCACTTCTATTAAGATAGGTAGCTCGAACATCTTCAATCTATTTTTTAGTAAGAATCACAGTGTTATCCAATACGAACTCCAAATTTTCGTTGTGGAACATAAAAATATTTGTTATCAATATGATGATAGAAATGAAAACCAAAACCACTGCCACTCAGTATGGATTTAAATCTTTTTTTTTGTTCAAAATCAAGTATATCTACTGCCAACATAAACTTTAGCTTAGCATTAATTGAACTTTAGCTTAGCATTAATTGACACCTATTCGAATCTCTCACTGCTACTTGTTGTACTAAAAAAAATCAAGTATATCTATGATTAATAAAACTTTAACTAAAATATAGAGACGAAATTGAAAGATGACTGAAAAATATAATCTAACAAATAAAACATTTTACCCAATTTAACGATGGATGTAAACTAAAATGGAAAAATTCGATCAGACCCAATCGATCAAAATTATTCATTTGTTGGTCTAACCTTTTGTAAAACTAAAAAAAATTATATGAATTTTGTGTCGGAGCACATTAACCCTCGTTAGTGATATGATAATGTTCATCTTGGTATAAACATTTGTGAGTTTATTTTTTGTTTCAATTAAAAAATTTCCTACTAATAGAAATATTGTTCATCGGTTAAACATGGGTGATCTTCCATTTTGTATAGCTAATGCGAGACTTTGATCACATTCCCAACCTATTTTCAGTTTGGCGAGTGCAGCTTTCCAATCGCTATTCAATTCGCAACTCTCCACTATCGTTGAATTTATTGTATAATTCACGTGACGTGCTAAATGGTACTAGCTCTTAAGTGTTTAGATGGTTCACTTCTTACACACGTATACAATTTTGATTAGTTCGTCTCAAGAGCAATACCTCAGATTGAGTCTGACTTGAGCATAAGAGGATGTCTACTTTCTTTCTATATATCTTCCTTTGCACGCCTCACTCCATCACAGATCAGTCGCGATTCTTCACAAGTCAGTCATATTTCTTTATAAATGGATCATTCTCGCTCATAGGTCTACTCGTTCAAGTCAGAATTTGACATCAACATATATATATATATATATATATATATATATATATATATATATGCGAAAATCGAAATCTAGAATCCAGAGTGGATGTGGAATTTGGTAAAAATGGAGAAATTAAGGAGGGGTGATTAATGATTAAATAGCGAAGTAGGCGACAAAAGGCGCAAATTACCAAAAAAACACAAGAGGGGAGATCCATGAGGCAGCACCCAAACCCAAGCCACACCCCCATTGGCTTTGCCTTCCACCAAAACAAGCGTTTCTCAACAAACGCCCCCCGTTGTTTATTTATCATTATTAATAATAAATAATAATTTATCTCATGCTTAGCTGTCCTTTCAATTCCTGGGCCCACCTCCCCTTTTGTCTCCTTCCCCTTTTATAATTCCTCCATGCCCAAGCTCCATCTCCATACTTCTCCTCCAATTTCTCTCTTCTCTCAAACAAATCCGCCATGGCCAAGCTCGGCAAGCTCACAAAACTCAAATCCGCCATCAAGCGCTGGCCCTCCATCTCCAAGCTCGCCCGCTCCGCCCCCGCCTCCGCCTCCGCCTCCGTCTCCTCCGCCGCCCACCTCCACCCGGTCCTCGTCGGCAGGTCCCGCCGCCGCTACCTCGTCGGCTCCGACGTCGTCGACCACCCGCTCTTCCGTGAGCTGGTTGACAAGTCGTCCGGGGAATCCGACGACATGGAGCAGGGGCAGGGGCTTGTCGTCTCCTGCGAGGTGGTGCTGTTCGAGCACTTGTTGTGGATGCTAGAAAATGCCGCCACTCAGCTGGGCTCCGCCGACGAGCTCGTCGAATTCTACACAACTTGAATAATTCTACGCCTTTCTTGTGGTAGATACTCTGTTACAAAAATTCAATTAACCCATTTCATTGATATAATTTTAGTTTTAATTTTACTCTCTGCGCTGCGCTACTGCGGATGCTCTTGGAAACGGAAACCAACTTGATTTCCATTTTAATTCCCCCCTTTCTTTCTCTGGGTTTTTTCTTGTTCGTTCTATTTTCCGGGAAAGTTTGTATTTGATCTCGGAAAATGAGCTGGTCTTGAAGTGGAAGAGTGAATTGCAATGCCAGACGCGCCTCAACTTGGAGGAAAAAAACAGAGCTTACAGTCACAGACAGCCAACTCTTTTTAATTTTCTCGCCAACCAAACAGTATCTGTGTGTGTGTGTGTTTTTTAGAGAGAGAAACATCAGATTAATTGGCAATGGAAATTGGCAATACATTTTGTGTTTATATTCTTTACAAACATAAATAAAATGGATTGGGACTCGGACTGTATCTGTCAGTTCGTGTTTGAGTATTTGATTTTCTTCTCATCGTCGCTTTATGACGTCATATTTCCATATCTATTAGCTATTTATCATATGTCAGCCTACCAAATTAAAAAATACTTTTGGTTATCCAATTCTATCGAAATACCACTCGACAGTCGTCTTCTAACCTTACCCACCTTTAAATATTGGGTTTTCATCGATTTCACATAAATTTTTTTTTTATCATCCGAAGAAATCTTATTGATTTTCAAGAACTTTAATTTACAATAATTTAATTCATGTACTTTGAAATTGATTAACTATTTATCATATGCCAGCCTACCAAATTAAGAAATACTTTTGTAATCTAATTCTATTGAAATACCATTGGACAGTCGTCTTCTAACCTTACCCACCTTTAAATATTGGGGTTTCATCCATTTCACATAAAAAAGGAATTTTTTATCATAAAAAACAACCATATTGATTTTCAATAACTTTAATTTATAATAATTTTATTTATGTACTTTGAAATTGATTAAAAAATGCAATACTTTAGTCTTTGTAATTTAAAAATTATAACACTTTAATTCTCACATTGAAAATTATGATCGAAATTAAGTATTGATTCTTTTTTATATAAGAATTTCTTATATATTTGGTCCATTGCTTGTAAGAAATCTTAACAATATTTTTTATCATAAACTTTAAATTATTGCGACTAAATTGCTACCTAGACTAAATTGTTACTAATTTAAAAGTATATAAATTAAAGCTTACAAACTAATTGTTACTTCAATTAAAATATAGGACCAAAATCATTTTTTAACCTGAATTTAACTATAATAACAAAAATATTTCATAAACCACTTATTCTATTCAATGTATTTTTGTTAATTTATCAAATCAAATGTTGTTTCTTTAGTTTTTCCTGAAGAATATTACAAAACAATCTGTATCAAAAATTTCAACTAATCTTCCTACTGACAACTCTTTTTCTATTACAGTCAAAACAAGCATAGCTTAGTGGTAATTAGTGTATATTTCCACTTAAGAGGATGTGGGTTCGATGCTCCACCCCTATATGTTGGTATTAAAAAAAACTCATTTTATATTACAATAAAGGGTAATGTYTTTTTATACTTTACATAATTTTGTATTTAATTTTAAAGTAAAAGTTAAACATGTTTATTTTCTTTTGTTCTCATTTTGCAATCTAATCTAAAAATACTTGTATTTTATTTTTTTAGTACAACAAATTGAGGATACGAACTCATAATCTATTGGATAGTAACATATGTCAATTATCGTTGAGTTAAATTTACGTTGATTTTATAATTAAGAAGTAATAAAAATTTTCATAATACTTTGTGCACCTTTTGCAATCTATGATAAAACAACCCAAACTTTTTTTTTAACATAAAATGAAAGGGAAGAGAAGGGAAGAGAGGTAAAATAAAAAATTAAATATTAATTTGGAAGGGTCAAATAGTAAATTCAAGAAGTTGAATAGTACGTTGAAAGAATTGAATACTCTTTCATTTAGACAAGGGGTGAAGTGTCCCACTCAACACCGGGTAACTAAGCCTAAAAAAAAGAAGTTAGCCTTTTCCGTTTTGGATTTGGGAAAATAAAAAATTTCAGTCTGGTCAGACTAAAAAAATTTATATGTAAATATGAATATATAAAAAATACAAAACGAACCTATTCGCATTAAAAAAATAAAAAAGAAAAAGAAAAAATCCATTGCCCTTGCCAGTCACTTTTCTATTCCGCCGCCGATTGAGTACAATCAAATGGAAAACCGGTGATAATCGGTTCTCATTAACATTGAACATTCGATCGGTTTTCAAAGCGGAATTATCTGGTCGGTTCTCAGAAAAAATCGAAGAAACCGATGTTCACCTTCTACAGAGTACAGAGTGCACCTACTAAAATTTTGCTTGGGTTGATTTCAGAGCTCCGAAGCGGGCCGGCGCTGTCGCTCTCTCTTTTCGCCGTACTTTGCCACCCTTGATCACTGATCCATCTTGGCATTCGGGTCAATCTGCGGGGTTCAGGTGATTGGAGTTGAATTTTCTGTTTCCACGTTACGCGCCTGATATTTTTTTTTTTGGCGCCTGCTCTAGAATAACTTAATCTGCTTTGCTTTTCACTCCTTTCTTTGGGGGTCATTGTTTCGGCTATGATATTGCATTGGAGAAGTTAGAAATCAAAATTTTCAACTAGGTGCAATTAGTTAGTTCCTCTTTCCTAATGGGTTCGGGATATCAAAAGCTTAGCTGCTCTGAGTTTTATTCGACGTCAGGTTATTGAAATTATTATTTGGCACCAACGGCAGAATAATTTAGTCTGCTTTGCTTGCCAGTCCTTTTCCTCGGGATTTCATGTTTGAGTTATGATATATCGTTAGAGAAGATAGAGATAAAAAATTTCAACTGGGTGCAAGTTGTTAGTTCCTCTTTCAGCTTAGGAGCTCTTTTAGTTTTATTCGACTTCAGGTTAGTTAAGTCAAATTTTCTGTTCCTCCACTATACCCCCGATTATTATTTGCGCCGGTGATAGAAAAATTCAGCCTGCAATTCTTTCAGTCGGTTTCTTTGTCGAGTTCATGTTTGAACTATGGTATCACGTTAGAGAAGAGTAGAAATCAAAGTGTTCAGTTGGGTGCTATTAGTTTGTGCCTCTTTCTTAATGGCGTAGGGATTTCAGGAGCTTAGCAGCCTTTGAGTTTTATTCTAGAAAATTCCACGTTCATAGCTGAATGTTTTGTTTTCTTGTTCACAATCTTTGGGCGATGTATTGTTTACTATATCGGTATTTATCCTCAACTGTTTCTTTTTCAATGGTCATTAGTTTCACATCTGTGGCTTGTGCCGTTGGTTCCTTAGAAATTTTGGGGTCGGAGAAATTTAAGAATTCCAAGCACTGAGTGGTTTGACGAAAAGTTTTTCCCCATATCTATATTTTTTTGAGAACAGCATGAAGTTTGTCTTCGAAAAATTTAAGTGTTTCTCTTGACTATTAGCTGTCATATGGTTTTAAATTCAATTTAGTTTCTTAATGTTATTGAATTATTCATTCTGTTTATGTTAATGAATTTGTTACTGTTTCTCTCTCTCACACGATTTTCTTTGAAGAGGTTCAAGCTATGCACATTTGAATGGAGAAAGAAGGGAATGAAATTTCTGATAATAAAGAGGTTCCTGGTTGTGCTGTGGGTGTTGAAGGAGAGGTGAAAGGGCTCAAAGAAACAGAAGTGGAGAATAGAGAGGAGGAGGAGGAGGAGGAGGAGGAGGATGAGGAAGAGGAAGAGGAAGAGGAAGAAGAAGAGGAAGAAGAAGTGGAAGATGAAGGAGAAGACGATATTGAAGAAGAAGATGGTTACATTTTCAAATTTAAAGCCGGAGAAAATCCTTTCGATTTTGTTGAAGGTACGGATTTTAGCATACAACCATATAAAAAATTTGAGCGCCTTGAATATGAAGCTCTTGCTGAGAAAAAGCGAAAAGCACTTGCAAATAGTCAGAGGTAAACTTTATTCTATATTTTCCGTGCTTTCTCCTCCTTTATATATTTTTAATCTTCCCTCTCACCCTTTTTTGGGTGGGGAAATGGTTACTGAAAGCGTGATATCTTACCTACAAAGTTTATAACAATCTTTTTAAGGACTATGAAATTGATGGTGAGATGGTGGAATGTTGTGATGCAATCTGCACTGTGCAGAATTTATGGTTTTCATATTTTATCCTGGCTTAGAAATTCAAATCAGCTGTTTCATTTGGACAGTTTGAACAAATTTAGAGTGGTGTATTTGAATATCAGAAAGGTAGTTTTATATGCATCTGCTGCCAAATGCATGAGCTGGAACCTATGCTAGTGTATAACTTCTTACTGACAAACTAATAAATGCCATTAAATAATAATTAACTGATTTATAACTAAATTCCAGCTTTGAGTCGTTAAGTGAGTTATTAAACCAGTTAGCTAGTTTATAAAGTAATGCTAAACTGTTTACGGACTAAGATCCCAGCAAAGCAACAAACTGTACTGTAAAGTATTTGGCATACATCTTGGAGAATAATTCAATTCTCGTTGGATTTTTTTTTATATTAGCTCTAACTTAACGTTCTTGAATGTTCGATTTGCCTCCTTGGTGGTTCTACTTCTAACTTATTTGAATGAGCTAATATAACTTAGTTTCTTCATCTGTTGAGCCACTAATAACATTTACTTTCATTGAGTTCAAACATAATTTTTAAAAAGATATCATGGTATGAAATTCATATAGTCTCCCTACTTTGTCTCTGTAAAAACAGCGAAAGGCCTGTTAAGAGGGGCAGACTAGAAGATATTCCTGGTGCAAGCTTTAATGAAATTATGGAAGCTATGAATTATGGATCGAGGAGGAAACTAAAGGAGGTAGTATCTATGCTAATGTTACTTTAATTACGATTTTGTTGATATATCAATATCATGGGTCAAACTTATTTCCATATGTGTTACTCATGGATTGTGGAAGAGGGGCAAAATTAATTTTATGAATCTAACAATGGAAGTCTTAAAGCCAAATCGAGCATAGTTCAGCGATAATTGACATATTTTTCCAACTAAGAGGTTATGAGTTCGATCCCCTACCCCACATGTTGTACTAAATAAAAAAAATAGTGAAAGTCTTAAATGGACCTGTCCTTTGGTATTATGTATGGATGCAATTTGGTATACAAGATAAGTATTAAGATAAATGGTAATCTTTTGGAGGAAAATATGTGTATATGCCCTGTACACTAAATTTGTAGGAATTCTACAACTTGTTAAAGAATTTGATGTTAAGTAAATGGTCCAATTACTTTTGAATTGGAGCCCCCTTTCTCCAATTTGTATTATGCTCAGAAAGGGACAAGCTCTAATTGTATAAGACATTCATGCCATTTGTTTTATTTGGAGAAAATCTTGCTCCTTTTGGTTTTTATTAGCAGGAACGTTAATGAGTGTTAATGAGATATTTATAACAGAGATATGGTATTGGACAAGTACTGATTTGATAAGAAGTCAATCTTCCTTCCAGGAATAAAGCTTTATTCCAATTTTGCAATTTATTGATCACCTTTCACCACTAAATTTAGTGTAGCTGATAGAAGAAAATTTTCTACTCATAATAATATGAATAATTAACCGTAAATGTGGTTTAGTTAATATTATTCCTCTAACAGAAGCTATTAATACAGTTTACCGCCCGAAGTCAAAATTGTAAACACCATGCTTTTTTTGGTTGTCTCCTAGAGGAAGCCATAGGCAACTACACCTGAAAAAATTAGCTGAAAGCTTCTTTGTATTTAATTAAGCAGAAGAAGCTCGCTGTTTAAAGAAGTCATATTCTCATCCCTTCCCCTCTGCCATGCATTTAATTATTAATACTCTGGACCATATAGGGGGCTTCTATTGAATTATTTTTTATTTTTTTAATATTTTCTGTAATCTATTCTGAAATGCAAGCCTTTCTGTGTACTTGTAGCCTAAAAGAAGAGGTAGACGGAAAGGATCAAAGAAAAAAATTAACCGTGAAATTACGAAGTTGCTTGGTGATGCAACTTTATGTTATGCTCAAGGCCAGTATGAGAAGGTACATAATCTTAGAGATGATCTCCATTCCTTTGGATAATTCTGTTTTAAGTCTTCACAGACGATGCCTACAAGGAGAACTAGCAAAGCATTCTTTTTTTCTATTTGTATAACTGAATTTACTCTTTGAAGCATTATGTTGCAGGCTATATCTGTATTGCGTCAAGTTGTCCTGCAAGCCCCAGATTTACCTGATTCGTACCACACGCTTGGACTTGTTTATAATGCAATCGGTGATGATGTAAAAGCCATGGGATTTTACATGCTTGCTGCACATTTAATGCCAAGAGATTCATCTCTCTGGAAACTGCTATTTTCATGGTCAATGTGAGGTCCTTTTCTGTCTATGAATATATTTCTTAGGTCATATTATGCTTTTGTAGTTTTGTCAAATTGAGATCATTTTCGTTTATAATTTCATGTTCAACATGGCATCAAATGGGCCAAAATCATTAGAACATTCTTGAACATACGTTCATTTGTTCTCTCTTTACATTATCAATATAGGGAGTAATCAAATTGATATTCTGTCATATGAAATCAAGCCTTAATTTTTCTGGCTTTTAGTATGTAGGTATCTATATGAAGAAGTAGGCCCTTTGGTCCTCAGTCATCTTCCAGATTATATGCAGACAAAAATGTCTGTGGCAGGACACTGCCATAAAGACTTTTCTTCCTGGACTAGAATTAAATGAAAAGGATGCGTCTAGTGATGTGCATGTGACATACACCTAATATGAAGTATGGGCTAACTAAGGAATTATGGTCATGCATGTGTTCCCATGAAGTCATTACTTTTAGTATAGGAAACGAAGAAATATGATTTACAGCTTGTAGATATTTAACATGTGCAGTGACCGAGGTGACATTGATCAAGCAAGCTACTGCCTTTCTAAAGCAATAAAAGCAGAGCCCGATGATATTAATTTATTATTTCATCGTGCATCACTCTACCTTGAGCGTGGAGATTGTCAAAAAGCAGCTGAAACATATGATCAGATTCATCAAAAATGTATCGGAAATGTTGAAGCACTCATGACTGGAGCGAAGGTTTGATGTTTGATCTCCTTGTTTGCCATTGGAATTTGGCTTTCTTAGGCACTTAAGATGCCAAGATCATTATTGCATTAATTTATACACGCTTTTCTTATTTTGAAAAACTATTACATGTTTTGTGTATGGTTGGTGTTTGGCCGATCAAACTTCTTCAACTATTTTCTCTTCACCAGTTAGAATATCATTAGTTATTTTGCTCTTCTCAAGTTGGATTTTCCCTGGCTTATAAGTTATGAATATATTTCTATAGAAAACACTGAAATGAAGACTTTGCAATCCCAACCTTCTCACTAGACACAATCCAATACGTTTTACTTCTTACAAAATCACTTTTATGTCAATAAATTATCTATGTTATTCAATCCATGACTTGCAGTTCTCTCTCTCTCTCTCTCTCTCTCTCTCTCTCTGTTTTTTTTTTGCATAAGAAACAATTCCGTTGATGTGCAGTTCATAATTCTAATGAAACACAATCCCAACAGCTTTCATGTAAAATTCCTAGTTAAACTTTAATTCTATCAAGCTTTGAAATAATGAAGTTTATACTTGAAGACGTGTTTTACAGTTGTCTATCGTTGATTTCATCAGAATATAAGTCACCTGGGTTGTTTCTGTATTTCTTGGTATGAGAGCTTGATTTAACTTAATTGCCTTTGACTTCTGAGCTTCAAGTATCCTTGATGAGGAATTGTATCTGATTACCAGTTAGCTAACTGTATATTTGCAACTAAAATCTGTCTTGCTTTCCCTTGCTAGCTGTACCAAAAATGCGGTCATCATGAACGTGCTATTTGCATTCTTGAGGACTACATCAAAGGACATCCAACTGAAGCTGATTTAGATGTGGTTGATCTTCTAGCTTCTTTATACATGGGAAGTAAAGAATTCAGCAAAGCTCTTGAGCACATCGAGCATGCAGATAAGGTCTACTGTGCAGGAAATGAAATGCCTTTAAACTTGGCAACTAAAGCAGGAATCTGCCATGTCCATCTTGGAAATATCGAGAAGGCAGAGGTTAGTGTAGTCTTCAATGCATAACTACCAATAAGTAAATGTAGTTATATATCTAGTGTGCCAACTGAATATGATAATCCCTTCGTTCAAAGTTAAGCAACTATATATCTTAATTTAGTTTTATGGCTTTTCCTTATGTTGTTGTCGATAGGACCGACTCTTCAGGAAGTCATTCTAACACACTATTTAGAAGTATATCAAACAGTAATTTCTTCATTACAAGATGTTTTTTTGTGGTATGTTTGACCTATGCATGGTTGGATACCAGTGCTGGTAGGATTTTGATCAGATAGATAATTGCGGAACGTTGTTAGCCTTCTTTATTGGTGGAAGTTGAGATTATTCAATAAAAGGCTGTCAACTATTTAGTTTTTAGCTTTATACTTATTTCTGGTTGTGGAAAAGAGGATGTAGCTTTTTTCTATATCTAATTCATGGTACATTTAAGAGTTACTGCCAACGAAATATGCCCTCTAGGGCTTAATGTGTTTTCAAAGCTTATGATGGATATGCAACATTTGTATGTATTCCCTGTTCTACCATATGTGGGGCCTTCTCTATTATACCGTGTTAAGGTTTTATATCACATGATAGTTTCTATAGCTTGCTTTATATACTTTCAAGTTTCATCTCTTGAGTGGGAGTGAATATGTTTGCATCTGTCTTTAGAGCTTGAAAATATTACACTTACCAGTTAATATTTATCACTAGAGCCTCTTTGCTAATTTGGGACGGAAGACTGCCGATGATCACTCAGATTTTATAATTGAAGCTGCAGACTCGTTGCTGAGTCTTAAGCACCATAACTTGGCATTGAAGTACTATCTGATGTCAGAAGAAGTAAATGCTGGAGGGAAAATGGTAAGCTGATAATGGTTTTCTTTTTTCTTTCCAGTGAGTGTTGGAAGGCTGGGGTGTTGTTTGACTTTTAAGTAGAAAACGCTGCATGTTACGGAATCTCAATGTTAGATGACATTTTATATAAATCTATTAGTTCTTCTGGTGAGTTTTTGATTGCTAGTTTGAGGCTAGTTACATTTTTTAATCTGTCATCAACATACAACCAGTGATTATTGTTTGCTTCTCTTATTTTTTGCCCTTTTTTGAATGATAAAATTGAGGACATTTACACGTTAATTTCTTAATTTAATTAAATTGATCTAGTTACACTTTTTAATCTTTATTAAGGTTTATTTCTTATGTTTATTTGAACAGCACTTATTGAGTTTTCTTTTGTGCTTACCCTGATTAACAAGATCTCACGTATGGATTATTAATTGCTTTTCTGTAGCAGGGGATTGTATACCTAAAAATTGCCCAATGTTACTTATCAACTAATGAAAGAGCAGAAGCAATTGTTTTCTTTTACAAAGGTGAGGCAAAGTTCTCATGATGATTTGATTAATGCCAGCTGGATCTCAGGGTTGATTTCAATCTCTCTTTGTAATTTTTCTTTCATCAACACAATTGTCTGGTACCAATAAAAAAGATGATATACTTTAATAATGCGATAGAATTGACTTTTATTATTTTTTTTTAACAAGAAATAAACATTTACATGTAAAAAGTTACCATTAAAGTTCAGAATTAGACTAAATAGGACATGCTCTGCTATATCTCAAAGAACCTTGAAACCTTATAAAAGCCTCCCCCTGATTTCTGTTAATAACAAAGTTAGAAAACCTCTTATCAGTTGAAAACCAAGAAGAGGCATGAAACTTCGCTAAATTGAGTACCTCCACCAATATTTTGCCTTTCCAGCCAGACACTCCACAAAACAGATTTGAAAGCATTGAACCATTGTCGTTTTTGCCTTATAAGGGATAGCCAGAAAGCAAATGAGCCACATTCCCTCAAAGGAAGAGTCATAACCCCAAGATAAACAAAAAATAATAATAATAAAAATTAAGAAGTCATACCAATCTTCATGCATTCCTAGGATATTTTCAGCAAGTTTGTAAAAATTCTATTGAACTGACTAAAGTTCCTTTGCAGTGCTCCAAACTCTTGAAGATAACATTAACGCTCGATTAACTTTGGCTTCCCTCCTCCTTGAGGAAGCTAGAGAAGAAGAAGCCATTTCATTGCTATCTCCTCCGAAAGATTCAAGTATGTGTTCATTAAATCAATATCATGTGTTTTATCACTTGCAAGTTAAAAGATGGACCTAGCAGATGTTTCTCACCATGCTTACTAACGTTTTTGGGTACTTCCTAACTTTATGCAGACTCAAGTAGCTCATCTTCCAGCAAATTCAAACCTTGGTGGCTCAACGAGAAAGTAAAACTGAAGCTTTGCAACATATACAGAACTAAAGGAATGCTTGAGAACTTCGTTGAGACAATCTTTTCTTTGGTCCGTGAGTCCTTATATATTGAGACACTTAAAGAAAAGGTAATTAAAATTATGGGTCTGAAAACCTCTTTCTTTTTACTGTAGTCTTTTAACTCTTACCTATTTATAACAATTTTATTCTAGGCTTAAAATATATGAAGGGTAATTTATCTTCCCCTTTTGTTTTAATAATTGTTTGTCTATTTGCCTATATTCATTCTCATGTCTGCTTGGATATCTGGAATCTAGGTCTTTTCTCATGTCTTAAAGACAAGTTTTCTGAAGCAATAAGTTGCCATCAATCCCTCAGTAATTATAGATCGGACGAATCATGAGTTGTATTGTATGAAAGAAAATGAAACTATCTATTAAAATCTATGTTCTAGAAGAGGCAATGTTCCCTGCATGTTGATATATATTTAGTAATTAAGAGGTTTTTCATGTTTATCTGCAATATGGACACTTGGCTTCAGAAGAAAAATAAGATTCATAATGTAG